CTATATATTTTTTTCAACTTTAAATATATATTTTTTTTCAACTTTAAATATATATTTTTTATTGTCTAAAGTTTTACATATGTCTCCTTTTTCCCCTATTGCCCCCACACCTCAAACCCTTCCCACCCCGGGCAAGCCCCCAACCTCTAGGGTCTGTGTCCATTGGTTATGCTAATATGCATGCATACAAGTGCTTTGGTTGCTCTCTAACCTCCCCACCTGTCCTGCCATTTGTCTCTGGATCTATTTTGGTTCATCAATTTATGTTGATCATTATATCCCACATGAGTGAGATCATGTGATATTTATCTTTCTCCGACTGGCTTATTTCACTTAGCATAATACTCTCCAGTTCCATCCATGCTGTTGCAAATGGTAAAAGTTTCTTCTTTTTTTATAGTGGCGTAGTATTCCATTGCATAGATATACCATAGTTTTTTAATCTACTCATCTGGTGATGGGCACTTAGGTTGTTTCCAAATCTTAGCTATTGTAAACTGTGCTGCTATGAACATAGGGGTGCATATATCCTTTCTGATTGGTGTTTCTGGTTTCTTGGGATATAGTCCTAGAAGTGGAATCACTGGGTCAAGTGGGAGTTCCATTTTTAACCTTTTGAGGAAACTCCATACTGTCTTCAACAGTGGCTGCACCAGTCTGCATTCCCACCAGCAGTGCCGAGGGTTCCTTGTTCTCCACATTCTTGCCAGAACTTGTCCTTTATTGACTTGTTGATAATAGCCATTCTGACAGGTGTGAGATGGTACATCATTGTTGTTTTGATTTGCACCTCTCAGATGATTAGTGAGTTTGAGCATGTTTTCATATGTCTTTCAGCCTTCTGTATGTCCTCTTTCAAAAAGTGTCTACTTAGGTCCTTTGCTCATTTTTTGATTGGATCATTATCTTCCTTTTGTTAATTTGTATGAGTTCTCTGTAAATTTTGGAGATTAAACCATTTCTGAAATAGCATTGGCACATATGTTCTCCCATGCAGTGGGCTTTCTTGTTGTTTTGTTGATGGTTTCTTTTGTTGTGCAGAAGCTTTTTATTTTGATGTAGTCCCATTTGTTTATTTTCTCCTTAGTCTCCATTGCCTTAGGAGCTGTGTCGGTTAAGATATTGCTACAAAATATGTCTGAGATTTTGCTGCCTATGGAGTCTTGTAGGATTTTTATTGTTTCCTGTCTGACATTTAAGTCCTTTAGCCATTTTGAGTTTACTTTTGTGTATGGTGCAAGTTGGTGATCTAGTTTCATTTTTTTTTTTGCATGTATCTGACAAATTTCCTGGCACCATTTATTGAAGAGACTGTCTTGACTCCATTTTATGCTCTTGCCTCCTTTGTCAAATATTAATTGAGCATAATGTGTTGATTTCTGGGTTCTCTGTTCTTGTCTATTGGTCTATATGTCTGTTCTTGTGCCAGTACCAGGCAGTTTTGAGAACAGTAGCTTGATAATATAGCTTGATAGCTGTATTGTGATCCCTCCAACTTTGTTCTTCTTTCTCAGGATTGCTGTGGCTATTTGGGTTCTTTTTTTATTCCAGATGAATTTTTGGAGAATTTGTTCTAAATCTTTGAAATAAGCCATTGGAATTTTAATGGGGAGTGCATTGAATCTGTAGATTGCTTTGGGTAGTATGGACATTTTGATGATGTTGATTCTACCCATCCATGAACATGGGATGTTCTTCTATTTGCTTATGTCTTCTTCTATCTCTTTTTTCAATGCCTTGTAGTTTTCTGAGTATAGGTCTTTTACTTCCTTAGTTAAGTTTATTCCTAGGTATCTTAATTTTGCTGCAATGGTAAATGGGATTTTTTTTTTAGTTTCTCTTTCTGTGAGTTCATTATTGGTGTATAAAAAAGCCATATACTTCTGGGTGTTAATTTAGTATCCTGCTACATTGCCAAATTCATTTATTAGGTCTCGTAGTTTTTTTGATGGTGTCTTTGGGGTTATCCATATATAGTATCATGTCATCTGCGAATAAGGACAGTTTTACTTCTTCTTTTCCAATTTGGATGCTTTTTATTTCTTCTTGTCTGATCGCTTTGGCTAACACTTTGAGTACAATATCAAACAGGATTGGTGAAAGTGAGCATCCCTGTCTTGTTCCCATTCTTAGGGGAAATGAGTTTAGTTTTTGTCTATTGAGTATGATGTTGGCTGTAAGATTGTCATATAAGACTTTTATTATATTGAGGTATGATCCCTCTATTCCCACTTTGCTGAGAGTTTTTATCAAGAAAGGGTGTTGGATTTTGTCAAATGCTTTTTCTGCGTTGATTGATATGATTATGTGTTTTTTGTCTCTCAATTTGTTTAAGAGATGTATTACATTTATTGATTTGCAGATATTGTACCATCCTTGCATCACTGGAATAAATCCCACTTGGTCATGGTGTATGATCTTTCTAATGTAATGCTGGATTCAGTTTGCTAGAATTTTGTTGAGGATTTTAGCATCTATGTTCATCAAGGATTTTGGCCTGTAGTTCTCTTTTTTTGTGGTGCCTTTATCTGGTTTTGGAGTTAGGGTAATGCTGGCTTCATAGAAAGAGATTGGAAGTGTGCCTTCCTCTTGAATTTTTTGGAATAGTCTGAGGAGGATAGGTTTTAGTTCTTTGAATGCTTGGTAGAACTCCCTTGTAAAGCCATCCAGACCAGGGCTTTTGTTTGCTGGAAGATATTTGATCATTGCTTCAATTTCTTTGGTAGTTATTGGCCTACTCAGGTTTTTTTTCTTCTTCCTGATTGAGTATCGGGAGCTTGTATTTTTCTAAAAATATCCTATTTCATCTAGGTTGTCCAATTTGTTGGAACAGAGTTGTTCATAACATTTTATTTTAATCCTTTGTATTTCTGTGGGATCAGTTGATACTTCACCTTTTTCATTTCTGATTTTGTTTATTTGGGTCATATCTCTTTGTTTCTTGGTGAGCCTGCCTAGAGGTTCATCAATCTTATTTATCCTTTCAAAGAACCAGCTCTTGGTTTTGTTAATCATTTGTATTATTTTTTGGTTTCTATGTCATTTATTTCCTCTCTGACCTTTATTATTTCCTTTCTTCTGCTTATGCTGGGCTTTTCCTGTTGCTTTCTCTATAAGTCTTTGAGTTGTAGGGTTAGATAATTTATTATAATTTTTTCTTGTGTTTTGAGGTAGGTCTGTAGAGCTATGAACTTCCCTCTCAAGACTGCTTTCATTGTGTCCCATAGATTTTGGATTGTTTTGTTTACATAGTCGTTTGTTGCCATGATGCTTTTTATTTCTTCTTTAATCTCTTTGGTAACCTAATCATTGCTTAATTGCATGGTATTTAGCATCCAGGTGTTTGATTTTTTCCATTGTTTTTATTGTAGTTGATTTCTAATTTTATACCATTGTAATCTGAGAAGATGCTTGATATGATTCTGTCTTCTTGAATTTGTTGAGACTTTGCCTGTGCCACAATATGTGGTCTATCTTTGAAAATGACCATGTGCACTTGAGAGGAAAGTATATTCTGTGGCTTTGGGGTGAGATGTTCTGAAGATGTCAATTAAGTCCATTTTATCTAGTCAGTCATTTAGGATTGATGTTTCTTTGCTGATTTTTTGTTTAAAGGATCTATCCAGTGGTGTTAGTAGGGTATTAAAGTTCCCTACTATGACTGTATTGCTGTCAATCTCTCCCTTGATATCTTCTAGAAGATTTTTTATATATTTGGGTGCTCCTGTATTGGGTGCATATATAATTACCAGAGTTATATCTTCTTCTTAAATTGCTCCCATTAGTATTATGGAGTGGCCTTTCTTATCTCTTGTTATGGCCTTCACTTTGAGGTCTAATTTGTCAGATATAAGTATTGCTATCCCAGCTTTTTTTTTTTTCATTTCCATTCTCCTGAAAAACCTTTTCCATCCCTTCACCATCAGTCTGTGGGAGTCCTTTTTTTCTGAGATGGGTCTCCTGTAGACAGCAGATATATGGGTCATGTTTTCTTATTCATTCAGCTACCCTATGTCTTTTGATTGGGGCATTTAATCCATTTACATTTAAAGTTATTATTGATAGGTACTTGTTTGTCGCCATTTTTATTCTTTACGCCTGTGTTCCTTCTTCCCTGCCTATTTCTTCTTTTTACAGCAGTCCCTTTCGCATTTCTTGCATTGCTGGTTTGGTGGTAATAAACTTCTTTAGTCATTTTTTTGTCTGTGAAGCTCCTGATTTCACCCTTAAGTTTGATTAATAGCCTTGCTGGGTACAGTATTCTTGGATTCTGACCCTTGCTTTGCATGACTTTGAATATTCCATCCCATTCCCTTCTGGCCTGATGTGTTTCTTTTGAGAAATCAGTTGATAGTCTGATGGGAGATCCCTTGTAGGTAACTTTCTGTGTCTCTCTGGCAGCCTTTAAGATTCTTACTTTGTCATTGGTGTTTGCCAATGTAATTATAATGTGTCTTGGTGTTGGCCTTTTTGGGTTCATCTTGTTTGGGACTCTGTGAGCTTCTTGGACTTGTGTTATGTTTTTCCCCCCAATATCAGGGAAGTTTTCTGTCATAATTTCTTCACATAGGTTTTCTATTCCTTGCTCAGTTTCCTCTCCTTCTGACACCTCTATTATGCAGATGTTGTTTCATTTTGTGTTGCCCCAAAGTTTCCTTAGGTGCTCCTCTGTTTTTTAAGTTGTTTTCCAGTTGCTGCTCTGCTTGGGTATTTTTTCCTACCTTGTCTTCTATCTCATTGATGCAGTCTTCCACTTCTTCTAGTCTACTGTTGATGCTTTCTATTGTGTTCTTTAATGCAGCAATGTCATTTTTAATTTCTTCTCCATTCTTCTTCATTTCCTCTTGATTTTTACACATATTATTGAATATGTCTTTCATATTTTTCAGCATCCTTATGACCATTGCTCTGAATTTTTTTTTTTTGATGTTCAGTTCCCTTTAATTACCCCCAGTTCCCTGGAGGACAGGTACAGGCAGCTAGGCGATGGCAAGAGATGTTCACTTGAATATCTTGCCCTGATTGAAAGCTTTACCCATGTGTTGGAAGGCCCCCTCCCAGCAAAAGTACTCTCACACTAATGTCTGTGTCTTCACGCTGCCGGGATCCAGCTTCCACCACGTGTATGATTCATAGTCCACCTACCAGTCTGGACTCAGCAGAAAGGCAAGCTCCTGGCCTTGGAAGACCCAGACTCCAGAAATGGAGCTGCTGTTGTTGGTTTCAAAGAGGATGATACTGGCAAAGGCATTCTTCCTTAGCTTGTCCAACAGCTGGAAAATTCCAGTGATGATGTTGCAATTCATGAAGGTCTGGGTGTGATCTTCAGGGAAGCGGTACTCAGAGTACCTCAGGGACCAGCTGTTCTTACCAAAGTGCTCCAAAAAGTATGGCAGCACCACTGACAGCGTGTCCTCATTGGAGTACTTGCACTTGAATTCATCCAACACAAAGGTATTCTTGGGCAGGTGATAAAGTGTTCCTTGGCCATTGGCTCTCCTGCCAGTGCCTGCTCACACTTGTCCATCTCCTCCTTGGGAGGGGGTGCAGTGGCCTTTTTCTCCTCTTTCTGCTTGGCCTGGGGCTTTGGCTTCTCCTCCCAAGGTCCTTTCTTCTTCTGAGGGGTGTCCCTTTTAGGCTGGTTCTCTGAAAACTTTTTAGCATCAAGCTGGGCCATCTTCTCACAGAGCTTCACCTCCCCCAAGACAGTGCAGAATGGGGGCTGGTTAATGCAGGTGAGGAACCAGTAGTTGGTGTTGGGGAAAGCCTGGCAGAAAGATGGCTCCAGGACATGCTTATAGAGCCACAGTAGGGTGCAGACAACTGTGATGTCAGCCAGTGTCACAAGTCTGCCCACCAGAAAGGTCCTTGTCTTCAAGTGAGCATCCAGCAGCGCTAGTATTTGCCTCATGTCCTCTGTGGCCTGTTTGTTGTAGTGCATGATGCCCAAGGTGGGGAACACCCAGGTACTGGCTGGGGGCACTATGTCATTATCAGCAAAGCTCACCCATTGCACCACCTGGGCTGCTGCTTCTAGACTACTTCCCCACATGTCCTCATTGCTCACATAGTAGGCAATGGCATTGCTCTCAAATACACAGAATCATCATCACCTTCAAATGATGGAACCTTGCCTGCAGAAAACTTTCAGAGAAATTCAGGGGTGTGGTTGGTTTGGCCAAAGTGGAAATGGTGTGGTGCAGAGAGTATGTGGACCTGAGCCCCGCTTACTGCATGGTTATGAGGGCCTTAAAGGCTCTCTAGTTTTCAGGGTATGTGTACAGAGTCTCAGCTGCCATGGTGATTCTGCAGAGAAAGCAGACCTGATTCTCAGTCACTCTGAATTCTTTTTCTGATAAATTGCTTGCCTCCATTTCGTCTACTTCCTTTTCCAGTGATTCCTTCTTTTCTTTCCCATGGGGGCTGTTTCTTTGTCTCCCCATGTTCACTCCTCCCAGGATATCTGGTTATGCAGCTCTCTCTCTCCTGCATTGTCTCTCTCCAGGTGATCTTTGAACTTTCTGTTCACAGATTGCCTCACCAGCTGTGTTTAATTCGCCAGTTATGGGTGGGTGTTATTTGACTCAGCTGTTCCTTCTATCTTCTCTGTGAGAAGGTGCAGGACCCAACTGGGTATTTGGCCGCCACCTTGTCTCAGTGTTCGTGGGTTTGTAGCTGAGGGAGCTGGTCCCTGGGCATTGTGGTTGTAGGGTCCCAGGAGGTATCCAAGGTCTCATCGGTTAAAGGTAAGGTTGGGCTTCTGATCACAGCTCCTCTCCCCTTCAAGATTGTGTGGTATCTGTGACAGAGCCAGCTGCCAGGAGAGATTTCAGCAGTAGTAGAGGCTGCCCAGCCAGGGGAACCTGGTCTGCCAGTCCCCAACAATCCTGTGGAGTATAACTGTCCCTCACTCATAAATACAGACACTCTGCACATGTCCACACATTCTCCTTTTGCTCTCTCACTCATACACTATCTTGCAGCCTGCCATTCCATCAGCCACCATGTTCAAGCCTCTCCTATATATTTTTGAATGATAGACTTGCTGATAAAGTAATCTTGGTTTTAGATTCTAGCTTTTCATTACTTTAAATATTTCATAGTATTCCTTTTTTGTCTGAAGTGTTTCTGTTGGCTTTTGCCTTCACCAGCTTAGTGAAGTTTTCTGTCATTATTTCTTCAAACAGGTTCTCTATACCTTACTACCTGTCTTCTTCCTTTGGTACCTCTATGATGCAGATGTTGTTCTATTTCATGTTGTCCCATAGTTCCCTTAAACTGTTCTCATGATTTTTAAGTATTTTTACTTTTTGCTGCTCTGATTAAGAGTTTATTTCCTACCTTCTCTACTAATTTGCTTACTTGATCATCTTTTTCATCAAGCCTGCTTTTAATTCCTTTCAGCATATTCTTGATGTCAGATGTAGTATTGTTTATTTCTGCCTGATTCTTAGTCATAATTTTTTTTTTCATGCTGAGGTACCTTCCACTGAATTCCTTGCAGTTCCCACTATTAGTTCTATTAAGTTTCTTGTTTTCACTGTTCCTTAAACATCTTTATAACCATTACTCTGAACCCTATATGTGATAACTTGCTTATCTCCATCTTATTTAGGTGTGTTTTTGGTTTTTCTTTAATTTGGGGGTTGTTTCTTGTCTCCCCATTTTAGTTGTCTCTTTGTGTTTGTATCTCTGTATTAGATATACTTGCTATAACTCCTAGGATTTGTAGTGTTGGATTTTGCAGTAAATGTCCTGTGGGACTCAGTGGTGTGATTTACTTATATTTACTAAGCTGTATGCTCTAGTCATGCCCCTTTTGAGGATTATTGGGGTTTTCCAGTTCTAATTGGATCTTGATTGTTATTATGCAGTTTATGGGTAGGCTCTCCTCTCAGGTCGGCTAACTGTGAGGCTCGCCATTGCCATGTTATGTGAGCTGCTATAATAGGTGCTTACAAGCCAAAACAAACATCCCCCAAAACAACAACAACAAATAAACAGAAAACAAACAAGAACATACAAAAGATCCTGACAACAACAGCAAAAACCACCACAAAAGAAAAGAGAATTAGGAAAGAAAGAGAAAACATGAATACTAAACTAAAAATAGAGAGAGAAAAAGATAATATTGCTAATAGTGAAATAAAGAATAAAGAGGATACTGGAAGAGAAAATGGGCAGAAAAAAGATTCTAAGAGGAAAGAATAGAGAGAAAGAATAAGAGTAGAGGGTAAAAAAAGGAAAATGGTAAAAAAATACAAGAAGATAGAGTAAGAAAACAAAAATATTATGCAAAGGTAACAAGAAGAGAGAGAAAGGAAAAGCAAAAGAAAGAATGGAAAATAAAAAAGGGAAAAATGCTTAAGAAAAGGAAGGAGGCCAATAAGATATATGAAAGAAATGAGACAAATGAGCAAAAATCTTAATAATAATAATATCAAAGTAATAAAGGAGAAAAAATAAGAAAAATATTGAAAGAAGAAACAAACAAATAAAACATTTTTTAAAAAGCCAGTCATAGGAAGTTTGTCTAGGCAGCTTATATTGTCTGAGGCTTACTGTTTTGTCTGCTGATTTCAGGTCTCCTGGGAGGTACTTTTGGGTTAGTCAATTTCAGGAGCTAAGTTTGGCTTTCAGTGTTCTGTTGAAGCTGTGGTCAGTCTGAGGCTCTCTGAGAATATCCTCTATCTGCCTCTCTCCTGAGGTTTCCTGGTCTTCCTGCAGTGTCATCCAAAGAATGTCTTTAGGGTGGAGGCAGGAAAGCTAGCATAGCTAGGGCTAGTGAGCCTTCTTAGAGATTTCACCATCAGGCACTCAATGAGTGTAAATTAATCTCTGCTTCAAAGCCAAACTACTCAGTCTCTACCATATCCTCCAAATGTAGTTCCATTTTAGGTGGCCTGATGCATGTTCAGATTGGATACAGCTTGTTGCCTTTTCTGAAGGAGCAGTTTCAGCTGCCCAGGCTCAGTGGGATTGATCAAAAGAGTCTCCTGTAAGCATGTTACCTGTCCAATCCACAGGAGGAGGACTAAGCATTTCCTCCTGGTCCCAAGCAAGAGCCTTTGAAGGTCTTATTCTTGGAATGGTTTTCTATGAGATGTTCTCCCTACCCCGGGGAGGGATTGCAGAAGGGCTCCAGGGCATGTCTGGCCTGTCTTGCTCAGTCCCAATCCGCCGGACCCCAGCAGCAAGCTAATCTACCAGTTGGAGTGTCTGCCCCCTGGTGGTCAGTGCACGTCATAGCGAGCAGTTGAGTGGCCTTAGCATATCATTGGCATATTATGCTTTGATTGGTTGAATGGATGAACGGATGACCAGACACTTAGCATATTAGGCTTAAAAAATTTTTTTTCTTTATTGATTAAGGTATTGCTTATGTGTCCTTATCGCCCCATTTCCCCCCCACCCCATTCATGCCCTCACTCCCCTGTTGTCTGTGTCCATTGGTTAGGCTTATATGCATGCATACAAGTCCTTTGGTTGATCTCTTCCCCTTAGCCCCACCCTCCCCTACCTTCCCTCTGAGGTTTGACGGTCTGATCAATGCTTCTCTGTCTCTGGATCTGTTTTTGTTCATCAGTTTATGTTGTTCACTATATTCCATAAATGAGTGAGATCATGTGATATTTATCTTTCTCTGACTGGCTTATTTCACTTAGCATAATGCTCTCCAGTTTCATCCTTGCTGTTGCAAATGGTAAGAATTCCTTCTTTTTTACTGCAGCATAGTATTCCTTTGTGGAGATGTCACATGCTCAAAGTCACTAATCATCCGAGAGATGCAAATCAAAATGACAATGCGGTATCATCTCACACCTGTCAGAATGGCTATCATCAACAAATGAACAAATGACAAATGCTGGCGAGGATGCAGAGAAAAAGGAACCCTCATGCACTGCTGTGGGAATGCAGACTGGTGCAGCCACTGTGGAGAACATTATGGAGTTTCCTCAAAAAACTAAAAATGGAACTCCCATTTGACCCAGTGATCCCACTTCTAGGAATATTAGGATTTTATTATATAGGATAGTATGGTCAGTCCTAGCCAGAGCAATAAGGCAAGAGAAAGAAATAAAGGCATCTAACTAGGAAAGGAATAAGTCAAACTGTCACTTTTTGCAGATGACATGATTCTGTATATAGAAAAACCTAAAGACCCCACAAAAAAACTATTAGAAACAATAAACAAATACAGTCAAATTGCAGGATACAAAATTAATGTGCAAAAATCTATTGCCTTTCTTTATACTAACAACAAAACTTCAGAAAAAGAAAAGAACAAAACAATTCCTTTTGCAATTGCAACCAAAGCATAAGATACCTAGAAATAAACTTAACAAAGAATGTTAAAGACCTATATATTGAAAATTACAAAGCATTATTCAAAGAGATTGAAAAACACAACAAAATGCAAAAGTATCACATGTTCATGGATTAGAAGAATCAACATAGTTAAAATGGCCATATTACCCAAAGCAATATACAAATTTAATGCAATCCCCATCAAAATCCCAGTGGCATTTTTTAAGGAAATAGAAAGAGAAATCATCAGATTTGTATGGAATCACAAAAGACCCCAAATAGCCAAAGCAATCCTGAGAAAAAAGAACAAAGCTAAAGGTATCATGCTACCTGATTTCAAATTATACTACAGAGCTGATAATCAAAATAGCATGATACTGGCAGAGAAACAGACACACAGAGCAATGGAACAGAATGAAACCAAATGTATATGGACAGATAATTTTTGACAAAGGAGGAAGAAATACACAATGGAGTGAAGGTTGTCTTCAATAAATGGTACTGGGGAAAACTGGAAAGCCATGTGCAAACAAATGAAACTGGACTACAGTTTGTCTACATGTACAACAATTAATTCAAAATGGATTAGAGACCTAAATATAAGACCCAAAACAATAAGTTACATAGAAGAAAATATAGGTACCAAACGTATGGGCCTTGGTAACAGAGAATCTACTCTAATAAAAGAGAAACATGGTAATTAGCGTACGACCGCTACCCTTCCCATTGGCTAATCAGGGAGATATGCAAATTAACTGTCAGCCAAGATGGCGGCTGGCAGCCAGGCAGCTGATGCGAACAGGGAGGCTTGCTTCCTTCAGTGACAGAGGACTCCAACGTTCCCCGCCTGC